TTATCTCAGCAGTACGTCTGTTTACGTACCCTTCGGTCTATATCTTGTTGCAGCGTACGTGTCGCAATTAATAAACATGTCTCGTTCGAACGCTCCGATGATCGCGGACGTGAGTCAGAAATAAAGAGCGTTCGTTCCTTCGCGGGTATACGAACCTGCGAAACGGCTGTTACACGTTAACATTTCTTTCGGGTAAATCGATAGAGTTGCATGCCGCCTCTCCCCTCGGTTCATGCAATACGTCGTGTGGTAATCTTATATCTGTCGATCGACGCCAGAATTATTACATGCCACTGATGGGAATCGTTTCGATATTCACCGATCAATTTCTGCCCCCGACAAACCGACCGAACAATAGAGCGGTGTGTGTAAATAAATAGAGGCCGGTCAGGAATTCGCGTCGGCATTAATAAACCATCCGTTGACAAACACCACGCGCTAAAACAAACTATAAACATCGATGATCCCGAAATGTATTCGTCATCGTCATTGATAAACGGGAATCGTCGGTCGCGACTGTTCAAACAGAGACACGCCAATAGACTTGAGCACCTCGATCGTTTCATCGTTCTGGCATTTTTGTAAAAAAAAAAAAAGAGAAAAATAACATGGAAAATCGATTACTGTCAATGTACATATGGAGTCGTCAAGTCCATCGGTACGGCTTTTAACCCTAGCGTTCTTAATCGGGTACTCGGATGCCCACTTGTGACTTTGGGCCCGAAATTTTGTATGATCCCGACAAAATATCGTTAAATCCTTTCAGAATTTCGTTATTTAACTCATTTCTGATCGACTTATTTATTTATAGTTCCAAATTCTTTTGTTTATCGTTTACATTCTTTTTTAAATTCTTTTGTTTTTTTACGTTTTCGTGTCCGTTTGTACATGTTATTCGGCCGCACGCTGTACGTGGTGTATTTTATAATTACATAACCTCGAAAATTTTGCTCAATAATAAACTTATTTCAATATTTATCAATGTGAAAGACTAGAAAATACAGGAAACAAAACAGCAGACAAGAGAAATAATGATATTCAGCTTCGAAAGACTCTAGCAAGTCTGCTCTGCTCGAAGTTTCGTACATAACTGAACGCTTTCGGCATTTATGTTGCTTTTTTATGTTCGAAGAATACAACATGCAGTTGTCTCAAATAAAACGGGAAAGTTAAAATCGGTTGAAAAGGGTTTTATATAACGGTCACTGGTGGGCGGATACCTAGATACCCCGGTCATGGAAACATTGTGGAATTTTTAGGTTATGAACACTAGGGTTAAAGAAATTGTAGTTGCCTAAAAACAATACACGAGTCGCGAAAACTTTATGCAAATAAAATACGCGGGCGAGGAAAGGGGTAGGTTGGGGGTGGGAGATGTTTGAGAAACGGTCGACCGTTCGTCAAAGTCGACGTTGTAAAATGCAGCGTTAACTACACGTTTTGTTTGCGTGTCCGATGGCAACCGGTTTTTACGCGGGGATCCGTGTCTCGCTTAGTGCACGGTTCCCGTTCCGACGTGCAAAAGAAAAATGAATTAACCTGTCGTTTAACGCGACTCAGGCGTAGTATTCGGCCAGTCGTCCTATTTTTGCGAGCGCGCGCGCGCGCGTGCGCTCTCGGCTTATCCGGTTAAACGCGTCGTCGATATGTCGGGAGATAGCGAGCAAGGAATTCGTATCGAGCTGTTCCAGTTCGATGACAAGCGATGACGTGTTCCTTTTTCAGCTTTCGCGAGCACGAATTTATGCGGCACGGATTTGTGTAGATCGTTCGTGTATTAGCGGGACGGAATCATTCGTTTCGTGCTTCACACGTTTCCCAGGGCGGCAAGGGAGGAAGGGGGAGCGCAAAACGTGCCTGCCACTCTTAAACATTAGCCCCGAAACGGTAATTCATTTTGTAAGCAGCAATTATACGGCTGTCGGCGTAGACGTTTCCGCGATTTTTTGTTATGAAACACGACGAATTAATACGAAAAGAATTCTTGGAAAATTGTGTTGTTAACTTTTTCGTTTTTTAGTAACCGAATTGCAGTTTGTTTGCGACTAGGCCGTTGTTCGTTGAACGAAAGAGAAACCGTATGACATAGGAATTGGTTAAGATACGTACTTTTTTTAAATTTCATCGACTCTCATTAATAGACTGCGGAAGTTAGTGCAATACAACAATTTTAGATACTGTTGTCTGAAAATTATTTTATTTACGTTTCTAGTTACTACAATTTTCAGACCCCAGTGTTTCGTTTTAAACAGTCGCCGTAAGAGTTGGCTCCGTGTGAAAATATCAACGAAAAATGATTTCCCTTGATCGCCGCGTAACGATTAACTTGATTCATGATCGCTTGGCCACGGATGCCAGCATCGGGTCTCCGTAATTTCGTCTTCCATTTGGCTGGGCAGTCGGGACAAGCCGCGAAATTTCGTGACGGGTATAGTTTGCGTGTCACCGTTCATTATAAGACCGCTCCTCCCCCCTCCCCTTCCAGTCCCGAACCGTCATCGTCGTCACGGAATCCCTCGAAGCCGCCCAGCCGCGTCGTCTCTTCACCCCACCCTTCTTCTACCCGTCTCTTCGCTAAATAACGCCCAAGATTAAGTGTCACCGAGTGCAGGCGAGGGTAAAGCGATAATAATTGTTTGTAGGGAGTTGAGGTGGAAAGGTCGTCGATGGCTACCACCCCACCCGATTCCAGCCAGGGGATTGTGTATACGTACACATTGGTGACCGGTACACACGTAGAATATAGACAGGGCCTGTGTGGATCACCAGTTAGCGGAACGAAAAGAGGTTTCGGGGATGGGCTGGAGAGAAGGACATCCAATATGTTGTCGAGGGGCGAAAAGGTGAGGGAGAGGGTATATATGTACACGAGGAGGGGAGGGAGAAAGCACGAGGTCGAGGATGAAACGAACAGTCGGAAGAGATAGGGAACACGAAAATGAGAGAAACTAAACAGGCGTGACAAGGATGACAGATGACCCGGGTAGACTGAAACTCCAATCCGAAAGATTCCTGGCGGGCGAACGGAACGAAAGTAAACCGACCAAAAAGTGCCAGGGGTTCGGCGAGCACCCGATGGTCGAAGGGATCGTAACGGAAGGACCTACGAACCGGGCGGCGCTGGGGAGGACTAGAAATAACAAGGAAATGGTATAGGAAATGAATGTGTTTATTGTAGCATTATATAATCCCAGAAGCTGGAACCGCGGTAACTTCGAAAAACGTTTACCCGTGTTTGTTACAATGATCGTGGAATTTTTGTACTTTAACGGGTGACGGAATGACAAAAAATCACATTCCTGACATGTGATGAGAAAATCAAATGGATTCAGGAAAGTAATATCAGCAAAATGGTCGGAATTCTTGATTCAAAAGTGATTCTTCATCGTGACAACGCTAAACTAAGATATGATTACGAGTCACATATTTGGAACACTTAACGTAGGTTTACGATGCCATATACCTTTTAGTTCCTTGCATTAAAAAGAAATTTTAAACATCATTACTACCAGAATATTTGAATGAAAGGTCAAAGAAGAAAATAGAGTAATACTGCGGGACAATATGATCAATTACATTTCTTCTTATACAGATGTTTACTGAATATTGATGTACATATTAGCAGAAAAATCGGTATGTAGATATTGTCCGGACGGTCTAATATTTACAAATGCCTCGTTTACAATATGGCCGTCGCGTTAATGACGTTATGTACTCTCAATTCCGAACGCCATTATCGGTACGCGAACTTCGCGTAATCGTCCGAACGAAAGATAATTATTTTGAATCGTTCGAGCCCATTCGCGGCGCGATTCGATTTAATAACAGGCTCGAAGGAGAGTGGTAGCGCCATTCGTTATGAAGCGATCAAATTCGCGTGTAATAAAGAGGAAGGTGGAACACGGGTTTCCCAGCGCGCGTTAGCGATGTTCAACCGTGTCCCGAAGTAATAATTTAATACGCGGACGGTAATGCAGCTACAAACTCACCGCAAGATCTACCGCGCAAATCTCGTTTTTTGCGTAAGTTAAAAATGCAAAGTGGATCGCGCGACGAGGAACGGATTCCCGTCTCGCTCAAAACGTAAGGTACATACATACCGAGAGCGCACATACACACACGCGACGAAAAAGAGACGAGCGAGCTAAGGCTAATTTCACACACGTCGGTTTCCGATTCTTTCCGTGAATTTCTTCTTTTCGTCGTTGGGGGTGACACATATATGTAGTACTTTAATCTAAAGCTAAAAATGAATGTATACAGTGTTCCGTCGATTATTGTCAAGAACTCGGGTCCGCGTCGCGACAAGCATCGAACAGGAGAAATGCTTCGGTCGAAGTGTAAATAACGTTTTTTAAGGTGGATGTTTTGGAAATCGATGTAGAACTGTTATATGCGCATAATACAAAAAATCCACAAAAATGACACGAAACAATAGTGAAAAAGAAATATATGTTGCATGATACATCATACGATCCATTTGTTGATTAATATTTAAATAGTCCCGTAAAATGGTTTAACTTTTCAATTTTACTCACTGTGTGAATCATTTCACTACCGTCGTCTTTGTCGTTTTCAATGTAACGGTGTTGTGTAGTGTCGAAATATGCGCGTACGATTCACAGTAACGGAAAACACTGATTAGCGAATCGTCGGGTAACAACGAAGGTATGTATTAAGTGTGCGCGGGAAAGGCGAAACAGTCGATGTTTTACCGTCCGGGTGAAATCGTCGTGTGTGAAACGAGCCTTAAGAACCCGATTGTCGGAGGTGTGTGCTATAGTCGGGAAAGGGCGACGGAAAGGAGAAGGGGTGGGGATAGAAGAACGGAGGAACGGGAAACGAGCGACACCCTGAGCGTGACGGAGACGGAACGAACGAGTGAGGGAAGACCACGTGGTGTCGCGGTAAGCAGTGGGAGGGCGCAACGGGCAATGGTGCGGGCGAAGGAGAGGGAAGAGTTTCCCCTCGGCTCTGCGGTTGATTAGTTGATACCCGTCCGTCGTCGAGGGTGGATCGTTCAAATAGCCTCTTGTCTTATGTGTCGCGTAGCGTATTCGTATCGCGTAACTCTGGTGCGCTTTAACGCAGCAGCCCATCGCCTCCGGTGTATCGTGCCTCGATTTTCCTCTCGGTGTGTATCACTGTGAAACGGGCACGAGACGAGTGTGTTGGCCGGACGACTCGACGACGAAAGTGACCAGTGGCAAAGTGTGTGCGCGTCGATTATTGGCAGCCGGTTCCCTTGTGCTCTTGAGTTTCTTTACCACCACGCATCTACGTGTTCACGCCCCGTCGTTGTTCCCCCGTTTCGTTTTTCCCTGAGAGCAGTGAATAACAGTGCGTACAGGCTATGACCTGGGATACCGTTGGATATACCTGAGGATAACGGAGACGTATCCATTACTCCTGACAGGACTTCGTCGCGACAGGAGGGAGCAACATAACCTCTTCGAGGGCCTCCGACGATAAGATGTACCCTAGTGCCGGTATGAACGCGGCGGCAGCTGTGGCTGTGGCAGCTGCGGCACGGCACCCGGTAAGTGGTTTTATTTCTTTTTCTCTCTTTTTTTTTTTCTTGTTGTTTTCTTCCTCTTGCTCGAACTTTTTCCCTCTCCTCCGTCTTCGTGACTCTTTCCTTGCGTGCACTCTTGACAGGAATGACTGGGCACGGCTTCTCGATAGAAATAAAAGTATAGAGAAAAGATTGAAGGTATTGAGACATCTCCGTGGTGGAGGGTTTTTAGTTTACCCGTTTAATCGCGCCGAGCCGTGTAATTCTGTTTGACATGGCCGGGTACGGGGCACGTTAACGTGCTCTTGCAAAATCGTGGGTTCTAACGTGACGAATTAGATTCGAACGATCGAGGAATACAACGGGTCTGTTTGTCCCCGTTGTGTTTGTCGTGGGATGTGTACGGGTGTTCTAGAGCCTTAAATCTATACACGCGGACGGAGTGTGACGATTTCGTAACGTTTGGTTATAACGTATACATATAATACAGAATATGGTATTCGTCAGCTAAAGTGGGTTTATCGATATCTCCAATGTAAAGTTAAAATCAAAGGAGTGTTTAGTGTGTTAAAAGTGTTAAACGATATAACCAATGATATTCGTGATAGTATTCCAGTAACGCACACCTATACCTGCATCTTTCACATCGCCCTCTAAAATTTGCTATTCAGAAATAATAAAAAATATATATTTATGACTATCGTGTAGTAACCGATAAACACATAATATTCTAGTATTTACATGTACTAAACATAAATGTGTATACAGCACCGATATTTTTTATTTCGCAGCAAGTCCCCCGGGTAGATTTTTATCTTCGTAATCGTTTTTCCGTGAATCGAAAACTGATCCCCCCGACCCTTCGATTAAAACCTCTTATCAAGCACGTTTCGACTTATCGGGAAATTATACACGTCAGTACGAGACCGCTTAACGTGCACGTTTGACCTCGCCACATCCCGCTGTCAATAGCCGACGATTACCGGTATAAAGCAACCGTGAAAATATTCAGATCGGCAGGGAGATACGATTAAACGTTCTTCGCGCGTTGTTTCCCTGGCGTTGGCCCCGTTGCTCGGTTGCGGTCTCGCCGCTCTTGTCGCTCCGGCACGACACACAAACCGCGCGCGCGAAATTAAATTCAGCCTTTCCGCCCGTCGGTCTTCCAATTTAAAACGCCTGCCGTACCGTAAGAAATAAGGTTGCGAAAATTGCACCTAGTAACCCAACCTTGCGTGATTCTTTCTTCTTTTTTTTTTTTCGTCTTCCATTTCTCTCTCGCTCTCTCTGTACCTCTATTTCTTTATTCCCTCGATTCCCCTTGCAGTTCATCGCCTCCGGCATCGAATACGCTTAGCGCGCGCGCGTACCATCGCGCTCGAATATCCTTTCAATTGCGAGCGTACTTTCGATAAGTATCGTTCGTTGCACTACCGGTCGAGTCTCTCTCTATCCATGCTAATTCGAGTTACCGATATCGACCCGGGAGGGTAGCTACCGGGAACTATAGAGTATCCCCTCCCGTCGGATAGATTCGTAGCTCCATGGCTGTGTGCGTGTTCTTTTTTTTTTTTATCATTGGCGCGTCACTCGAACGGAATAAAAAAGCAGACCTGAAAAGTACTGTCGGGTTGTGTGTTTTTTTTTATCACGAGCCACGTTGGAACGGCAACGACGGGGACCTCGCGCGTATACATACCCGGCTGCCAGACGTGTACTCTCTTTCAGATCGTTAGTCGAATGAATCCCGGCCCCGTATTTATTTTCTCTCGATAGTTTACCCACGTTCCGCGCCAACCCTCCACGCCCCACGTTCCCCCATTCGACCATCAGGGACCCTCCCGAATATATACACCCGACCCTCTTGCTCTCTCCTCCCTTCTTTGCCCGCACGCACGCGGGCTGATACTTCATCGCACGCGAGAGCGTTTGCACTAGGGCACGATCATCCTTATTCGACAGCCGTCCATGGGCCTTTTCAGACCCACATTCCGGGTACTAATGTTCGTGATACATAAAATGCTTATTCGTTTGAACCGTTCACGCTCGATAAAACCTTTTCTGCGGGTGTACCGGCCAAGTACCGGGCAATTGACTGACGAAAACAAAATGGCGTCTTATGTTAGCGGGGCTGTTGAGTTTTGTCTGAAATTTTCGTACGTTGCGGTAAAAGTAATTACGAAAATCTGGAATCGCGCAAGAATACGAGAAACTTATCGCCAGTACCGTTGTAATCTTAAGTTCTAGTGTTCAGTAAATACTATGAGCAGCATAATAGGATTAACCTTAACATCCAAAAATTTCGAGTAAACAGTTCGAATTATCTAACATGCCTTCTTATGGTATGGAATTAGACTGCTATCGCTGTATCGGTCGTGAAAGTTAAAGAAGATTGACGATCCTCTGAAACGTGGGGATAAAAATTTTAGTCTACGTTTGAATCTACAATCTTATGGTTGAATACGACGGTGCTACGCAACGAAATCCGCCGCGCTGGTATGCAGACGGTGGCGCGGCGACGGCCGTGAAAGGAACGAAAAACGGTCAGAAGGGAAAAAGAATTCGTGAACGTGGGGGGCTCCTCGTCAACGAAATAATATTTGGCCCGGCGAGCAGAGATTTTCATTTGGTCGTAAACAGGCTGCTAGCTGACGCGCGCGGGAAAGCTCGCTCTTGGGACGACGAAAATAAATCCGTCTATGTATGTATACCCATGACCGTCGCCAGCCAATATCAACGATTACATTACGTCCGTACGTGGCATCCTGTATAGATGATGTTCGGTATCGACGATTACCGGCCAACGGGAAAAACGAAGGAAAATGAGGGATGGTAAAGGAGGGGAGGGGGCAAATCCCGGTTGGAGGAAGGGGAGGCGTTTCTATCGTTCAGAATTACCTGGAACCGCTGGAACACTTCCAATAGTGTACTGAAAGTGGAACAGATTTCCTCACTTCGAAAGCCCTCGGTTTAGGTGATCCATTTTTATTCGATCCGCTGTCACACGAACGTTCCTTTATTTCATTCCTGCGCCCTCCCTTCCAACGTGTGCACATTTATATGCACATTTATAGGCGAGTACCGGTTCGACGGAGGATAATTCCTGTATATCGGTCCACCGGAAGTGAATTAATTTTACGTTCCATGGTGGTTTGAAAATTTCGAATGTTATTCTGGTATTGGTATACATGTATACAATATATGTATAACGAATACAGTGATAATCGGATTGGAGCGACACTTCGCTCCGGATTAGTGTGACATAAGTCTTCGGCAACTTATATACGTACATTCGTAAAGTAAGAATTCTTTTGTTGCTCCAATTTGAGCCACGTTCTATACTTTTAAGGACTCCATTAAATTCCAATCGTTTCAGATTTTAGTTAGGCTGAGAGCTGTCGAAAGGCTTATCGTTTGCATAGTCGAACGTTCGAGCCGTGTATCCGTTAAACACATAGACAGCATTATCTAGAAATCGACCATTTCGTTTGCTGCAACCGAAGATTTTTCCAGTACAACCGGGGTGTACAATTTCTTTCGAAACCGAACGATTACACGTACGGTGTCTACACTTCGTTATCCTATCGTGATGGGAGCCGTTTAAGCGGCCTTCCAAGATCGGTAAATCGGTGGAAGTTCACGCTTTCAATTTTATCGCAGTAATACGCGTCCCCGCGGAAGGCTTCCGTAATCGATAGGTTTAATATAAAAAAATTCACCTCGAGGACGACACGGTTGACGGGCGTCGCCCCGCCGCCCCCCCCCCTTCAGAGTGGTTGTTACCTCAACCATCCGTATCTTAACTTTCCACGGTTTAATCCCGGTAATCCTATTAACGTAGCTGGATCGTAAAATTCGAGCCTCGATTCCCTGCAGGCGAGGTTACAATTTACAAAGAGGGGACAGTTGATTGTTGACAAGTGTCTGCAGTGTAAACACAGGTGTATGGGGTCTTGGAAACGAACGGGAGAAAGAAAGGAACAGAAAAGGACAGAGATAGAGAGGGAGAAAAACAAAATGTTACCTGAGTTCTCGATCGGCACCGACATCGGTCATGTTTACCCGTCATTGTCGTCCTCGATTGTTTGTCCGGCTCGTTACCGGCAGATTCCTCGTACTTTTATCGATTTCCGAATAATATTTTTCGAGGCGAACCTCGGGACTCGTCTCAGATGCTTAGATACGTGTGCATTCTATCGAATAACATCGATATCCTCTGTAGCGAGGAAACTAGGATCCGAGTTATATTGGAGAAATTACGGATACACTAAGTATATATCAAGTCGTCATGAGAAAAGTAAATGAAGATTACCGAATGAAGCTGTGTTAGTGCTTAACGTCTCTGAACATTTATCTTTTCCCTTGTTGCTTGAGCACGATGTGTTTGCGTTTCGATATCGGTTTTTATTGCCCCTCTAATCCGTGTTTAAATTGAAACCGAAATTCATATTTGACCGTGCTACATTTAGGAATTTAGTTGGTCGAAGGCTTTCAAAGAACACGATTTTTGAATTTGTTACAGTCTAGTCGTTCTTAATTTCAGTGTTTCTACATTATCAGAACATTGATTACCTTGACCAGCGATGCGTGTTGGCTTAGCATAGTGATCAGTAAGACAGAGAGAGAGAGAGAGTTAACAAGATAGAAACATGCGTTAATGCACTGAAACGATCGCAGAAGTCTCGACTGCTCTCTATAATCACGTATGTGTTAAATGTACTCAATAACACATTCAGTAACATTACTCTCAAATAATAGCTAGTCATACATATTGAACGAAACTCAAGACGGAAATAAACGTGCATACTAGTCAACCAATTCTGCAATAAATGGTCGTACAAAAAAAAAAAATCGAAATTCTGTCAGAAGAAAAAAGAATAAATTATATTAGGGGTGGCTTTCTCGAAATCTCCAAACCGCTTGAAACCCAAGAAAGTTTCCAGAATTTGAAATTGCACTAATTTGTGATTCGAAACTCGAAATGCAGGTCAGAAAAAATATAAAATCGATGAATAAATTCGAAT